GAGGGGAGGAGGGAGGAGGATAGATAGGGGAGGGTGAGCAGGAGGGAGGGGAGGAGGGAGGAGGATAGATAGGGGAGGGTGAGCAGGAGGGAGGGGAGGAGGGAGGAGGGAGGGGAGGAGGGAGGAAGAGGAGAGAGAGGAGGGGGAAGAAAGGGGAGGAGGGAGGGGAGGGGGGGAGGAGGAGAGATGGGGAGGGTGAGCAGGAGGGAGGGGAGGGGGGGAGGAGGAGAGATGGGGGGGTGAGCAGGAGGGAGGGGAGGAGGGAGGAAGAGGGAGGGGGAGGAGAAAAATAGGAGGAGGAGGAGAGAGGGAAGGAGGGGAGGGAAAGGGACTCAGGGAGTCAGAGCAGACACAAGGGAGGCACACAGATGCGTGCTGTCCAGCAGACATTTGAGCCGCCCGGTCAAAGGTTCAGAGTGGAGGCAATAAACCTTAAGATTCTACTGCAGCCCAGGTGAATTTTTTTAAAGACCAGCCAGCTTCCTTTGATCTCATTCCACCCTTATCAAGCCTCCACAAGATCACTTACTGGTGTCAGTGTTACCGTGACACAGGGCGAGAGTTACCTCAATAACTAGCCTTGTTTTTGGAGCCCAACGGGAGGACTGCATGTGTGAGTTCACAACTGCCTCCCCTGATCCTGAGGATGCTGGAGCGGATGGGGCGAGATGCATGTGGAATGGAAGATGGGGGTAGAGCAGCCCCTTTCCCCTATTTTTATCCCTGGAAAGGTAATTGAAAGGAAAGGCTGTGGTATCATAATTTTTTTCTAGCCCCCAAATCAGTTGCTTAGTATATGGTCATTCCTGAGTGGAATGAAAGAACAGAGTTTCCCAAACTGTAAGGCTGCCAAGAAGGACTGCAGTGACCCCACTGCCTGGACCCCACGCCCATGCTTCACTGTCTTTTCAGCGACAGAATGAGTTATTGCGAAAGCTCTTTCAGAAGAAAGAAGCATAAGGCGTTTCCACAGACTTGGAACTGACAGACACACAGCCTCTGCCTCGCCACCCACTCCCCTCCAGAAATCCAAGGACGGGAATGTTGTTCAGATTCTTGGCAAATCTTCAATCAGTTCCTCAGATGGCTGGTTTCAAGGGACTATTCTGGGCTTCTACACTCAGAGGAATACAATGGATAATTGGAATCAATAGCTCTAATAATAAAAAGTTTCCAAATCTCGTGTTTTGCTTCTTTAGAGAGCACAAAATAAATGTGCTAAGATCTCATTGAAACATCATCTTATTTTCCACAGCCAAGTGATATACGGGAGGAATCCTTATAAAGCATTAGACTAGCTCTGCTGTTTATTTCCATCACAAAGCAGGTCGTTTTTTATGAGAATCTATGTTTGTGGAAGGTGACAAGAGATCCGAGTGGGGAAAGAGGAGAATTTTTCTTAAAAGATTCTAGCATTTAATGAGCCAATCCTCACAGGCTATGGGTTCTTATTCCCATGTTAAGGGGCTTCCCAGGTGGCGCTAGTGGTAAAGAACCTGCCTGCCAATTCAGGTGACATAAGAGACACAGGTTTGATCCCTGGATCAGAAAGATTCCCTGGCGAAGGGAATGGCAACCCACTCCAGTATTCTTGTCTCGAGAATTCCATGGACAGAGGAGCCTGGCGGGCTACAGTTCATGGGGTCACAAAGAGTCGGACACGACAGAGCAATTAACATTTAACATTTCCATGTTAAAGTTAAGAATATGGTAGCATGAGGTTTAAAAAGTGTACCAGTGGCCTAAAGTCACACAACCAGAGGATGGGAGAGCCTTCTTCCTTCTCCTCCATCCTCCTCCTCTCTCCCTTCCTCTCTCCTTCCTTTTTATTTTAGACAGCCTTATTGCAGTATAAGCTGCCTTACATAACTGTTGTCCATCGCAAGTGTACAATACAATAATCACTAGTCAATTTATTAGATTATGCAGCCATCACCACAATCCAGTTTTGGACCATTTTCATGACACTGAGGCGACTTAGCACGCATGCTAAGCATACTTGCTATGTGTTTGGTTTTTTTTTCCAGATTTTTTATTTTTTGAGGGTTTTTTTGGGGGGGGGGTAACTGTGGCTTTCTAAGAATTTATCCATTCATCTAAATTGTCTAAATTTGTAGCATAAAATCCTCTTAATTTTTGTAGGTTTGATGGTGACACCTCTGCTTTTTATTCCTAATTTTGGTAATTTGTAACTTCTCTCTTTGTCTTGTTTTTGGAGTGAGGAGTCGGGGGAGTATAGCTGAAGTTTTGTCAATTTTGTTGATCTTCTCAAAGGACTAATTTTGGGGCTCACTGATTTTCTCTGTTGTTTTGCGTGTTCTATTTCACTGATTTCCACTCTCATCTTTACCATTTCCTTCCTACTAGTTGCTTTGAGTTTAGTTTGCTCTGCTTTCTCTAGTTCTTAAGGTGAAAGCTTCAGTTTCTAGGTTTTTTCCATGCATGCGTGCTAAGTCACCTCAGTTGTGTCCAACTCTTTGTGACCCCATTGACTGTAATCCACGAAGCTCCTCTGTCCATGGGATTCTCCAGGCAAGGATACTGGAATGGGTTGTCATTTCCTCCTCCATGGGATCTTTCCAACCTGGGGATTGAACCCAAGTCTCTTACATCTCCTGCACTGGCAGGAAGGTTCTTTACCACTAGCACCACCTGGAAATTCACATGCTCCACTCCGAATCAAGTCAGCCCCTCAGACAAGGATGCCACAGGGCGCGTGGTGTCCACATAGAGCTTCCTTCAGAATGCAGGCTGGTGATGACAGTGGTCCCAGAGAGACTGCCACAGACTCCCACTGTTCTGCCCCAAAGTTCATCAGTTTTTCATGAATAACTGCTCCTTAATACAGCTGGATTCCAGAAACATACAGACTGTTTCTGACTACCATGTCTCATCTTGTCTATAATGTTTCATCTAACTGCCTTTGGGGAAGGACATATCGGGCTACTAGTTTCTGCCACTCCAAAGCCCTGTCTCTAAAGCTCCTTTTCTCTCCTTCACAGGAAACAAAATCTGGTTTCACCTCTCGCACAATCTGTGTCTCTGGGGGGAAGGGACATGGGGGCAGAGCTGGGTTTTAAAAATGATGAGCTGATGTTGAAAAGTATGTTGAAAAATACTGCTCTGAGGTTATCAACTTTAAGAAAATGAAACAACAAGAATATTGCATTTTAATGAATCATTTAACTTCTTCACTGTTAATAATGGAAACTCAATGCCTCTTAGAATCTGCATTTATAATAGAGAATTTCGATGGCACTCTTTATTATCAGCTTTGTAAGAAAGGCAAAAAAAAAAAAAAATTCCTGATCTTGCTGATTCTTCAGATGCTCCCAGCACTAATGGGGAGGTGGGAGAGAAAACAGGATCACAGCAGGAAAATGCTTAACGGCCAGTGTGGGAGCTGGGCTCTTTGCCTACTGCACCAGTAGGAGATTTAAGCTCATGCAGAAGTGATGCGGGCCTAGACTATGCACTGTCCACAGGCTCCAACCTGAAGGAAACTGGGCCCTGGCCTCTCTCTCTTCCTTATGACATGAACTAAAGAACTGTGACTGAGATCCAAGGGACCTGGGTTGAAGGGTCTGGCTCTGCTATCTTCTTCCATCTAACCCCTTGGGGTTTTGTTTTCTTATTTGTAAAATGGGTGTAATAATAAAGTCTTCCTCACAAAGTTGCTGGGATGTGATCAAATTCAATGATCTTCATGAGTGGCCTTTACAAATTATTGATGAGCTATATAAATGCAGCCTCTTGATGAGGGTGAAAAAGGAGAGTGAAAATGCTGACCTGAAATTCAACATTAAAAAAACTAAGATCATGGCATCCACTCCCATCACTTCGTGGCAAATATTAATAGAAGTGGAAAAAGTGGAAGCAGTGACAGATTATATCTTCTTGGGCTCCAAAGGCTTTACGCTATAAACTATTGCTCTGTGTTTAAATCTCAACATGTGGTGGCTAAGAAAGAGATTGTCTCCCCGCTTCCCTACCTCAGGACACAAGAAGGCTGCAGCGCAGCGGACAACTCACACACACTCCCATGACTGACCGCTTTACTGTTCCCCTCCCAGGGAAGCAGGATGAAGGCAGATGCTCAGAGAAGGACATGACTGCGCTTCAGCATTTGGGGCCATGAACCAGAGCGGACACTGTTTTTCAAGACCCACACTTGTACCTCATTATATGGTGGAAAGTGAGGGTCTTTCAGCCGAGTGGGCTGGGAAGGGAAGCCCACTGGGAGAGAACTTTTTCTGTCAAATGATTTTTCATACCTAAACTTCACATTCACACTGAGTCACCACATTTCCCCTGCCAGCTTGTCAAATGACAACCACAGCAAAGCTACACATTCACAAAGGCAAACTTTTAAGAGCAAGTGGGAGCTCTCTTTTTAATTAAAAAAGAGATTTTAAGGGTTCTTTGTATGAGGGATAGGGATTTTTTTTTTAATATCTTTAAAATGGACTGCTGTAAGTTTTTAATCCCAGGCTTTCCAACATCTAAGGAAAAATAAAGCCATTCATCTCAATATATATCAGAAATATATTATCTTTGTCAAACCTTAATGAAGAAATGCTGGAACCTAGGCTAGATAAATAGGACAGAGTCTAAGGTGTAACCTTTCCCGATTGATATTTTAGAAATCAGAGGAAAGAGCCGCCACCAAGAGCCACAGCTTTCACAACAGCGCCTTCTGCAGGCGCCTTCTCAGAGTGGACTCAGACACTTGAATTTCAGAGAGCTTGGTGGGCGGTGGCCTGCCTGCAGGTACCACTGGCCCACCTCCAGCGCACCAGTCCCTCGACCTTACCTCCAACCACTTTCCATCCCACCTCCTACTCAGGTCATCCTCGGGCCAAGTGAATGAAGAAACACCGGGACTCCTCCCCAGGGACTCAGCCCCTCCTGCGCGGGCTCCTCTCCCGTCCTCCCGCACTGGGGCTGAGCACAGGTGGGCAGTGACCACAGACAGGCTAAGGGCGGACCTTCAGGGTTACCTATTTGCCTTTCCAGGTCGGCGGCTTCATCAGGCGTGGCTCGCGGAAGGACGCCGGGGTCACTGAAGCTGGTGCGTAGCAGGGTCCCCATCACGAAGAAGAACAAAATGCCACCGACCACCGGGATGGCGGGGGTGATTTTCACTGCTAGGTACGGGCAGCTGCCAGCAGGTGGGGGAAGGCAGGAGAGGAGGGGAGAAAGAAAGGAAATACAATGTCAGTATTCAACAGCAAGCAGTCTGTGTTTTCCAAGAACCTACAAGCTTTTTTTTTGGAGAAGCAAAATTGATTTCCATTAAAAATTCATCTGTGCTAAATATCTACATTTGGGGAGGTCTGCAGTTCTCTCTCGTGGACAGTTTAACCCTCCCTTCTCAGCTAAGACAACCCTCAGCTACTCGGAAAGACACTGGCAGAAAAATGAAAATAATCCTGCTTGTATAATCGATGCAAGATGCACAGAGCTTGCACTCTTTGTGTTGGAAACAAGGCACATGAATTATGTGATTCTACACCCAGTCTTGGAGTCGTATTAACATAGGAGACACTGGCTTAGAACAATTTTCATCAGACCCGGCCTTTCCTCCCTGGGTCAGGCAGCTCAGGGCACAGAACGCAGAGAACTGCAAGCCACCCTCAAAAGGCAAGAAAGTATTTTTTCAACATTTTGGACCTAATCTATCCAAAAGAGGTTAATGAGATATGGAAATATACTAGTGGACCAGTTTCCCAAAAGGACTAAAAGGATGTAGGCAGATAGAAAGCTATGACCAACCTAGACAGCTTATTAAAAGCAGAGACATTACTTTGCCAACAAAGGTCCTTTTAGTCAAAGCTATGGTTTTTCCAGTAGTCATGGATGGATGTGAGAGCTGGACTATAAAGAAAGCTGAGCACCGAAGAATTGATGCTTTTGAACTGTGGTGTGGGAGAAGACTCTTGAGAGCCCCTTGGACTGCAAGGAGATCCAACAAGTCTATCCTAAAGGAAATCGGTCCTGAATATTCATGGGGAGGACTGATGCTGAAGCTGAAACTCCAATGTGAAGAACCGACTCATTGGAAAAGACTCTGATGCTGGGAAAAATTGAAGTTGGGAGGAGAAGGGGACAACAGAGGGTGAGATGGTTGGATGGCATCACCAACTCGATGGACATGAGTTTGAGTAAACTCCGGGAGATGGTGAAGGACAGGGAAGCCTGGCGTGCTGCAGTCCATGGGGTCGCAGAGTCGGACACGGCTGAGCAAATGAACTGAACTGAACGTGCACTTCCAGAAGACGACGAGCTACCAGCGGATAAACACAGCCCAAGTTGACTCTCGAACCCTCTTTGCTGTCCCCAGCGAATGCACTGACACGCAGTAGGGTCTTGATGAGTCAGGGCAAGGGGCCCTTGCGACAGACGGACGTCTGCGCCAGTCGGCTCCGGGGACCCAGGATCCAGACCCAGTCATTGCCCCTTGACTCCGCAGAGGTGGTGAGAGGCAGAGAGAAGACCAGCCTGGTGCCTGGAGCCCAGTGAAGGCTGAGCCCCGCAGGGACCACGGTCAGTCTGTTGTCTCCACATTTAGGAACACCGTGGGCATCAAGGAACACCTCATGGACTCAGAGTCGTAACACCCAGACTGCAAAGTGCCTCCTAGATGGTCTGCCTCACCAGGGGAGGCTCTTCAGACACTCAACCCCAAACAAAGAGAAGGAGCTGGAAGAGAAAGGGTTGGAAAGCTTTGCTTAAGAGATGAGAAGGGGGCTCAGTCCTGGGGGATTATCATGAAATGACCATCTTCCCTTCAGAGATTAAATAGAAAGCGACAATCATTTAATACTGCACTGAATCCTTCGCATGGGACTGCAGTCCAGCTCTGGGATATGGTGCAGTACCGTGGGCTACAGAAATAAACCCGTTCCCAGGGCACGTCCATTATGTCAAATGGAGCACATGCGGACTCTGACACGGCGCATCTGTGAAGAGCTGGTGATAAATATCAATTGCTGCAAGGCTCTTGATTAAATCTCTGACTGTGATGTCAATCAAGTTAATAGCAAGGAACTCAGACTCTAAAGATCATTAAAAAGCATTTGTGTCATAAAATATGGCATTATCTTTGTTCCTCTTATTGTCATATAAAAAGCCACCTGAAGTTGTATTAAGCCTTGAAAATGTGCTAGTGTACCACAATCAGAAATCAACACCGTTCGGGGTGGGGAGTTTGGGGGAGAATGGATACGTGTATATGCATGGCTGACTCCCTTCGCTGCTCACCTGAAACTATCACAAGATTGTTAATTGGCTATCCAGCAATAGAAAATAAAAGGATTTTTTTTAGAAAAGAAATAAACACAGTCTGTTACTGAAGGCATTAAAACTGACCCTGATATTAATACATTTTGGTTTCTATAGATTAGTCAAAATTTTTTTTAGTCTAAAAGAATCTACTCTAGGTATACCTCTTTTTTTTTTAAATAAAATGGTTAGAAAAATGATCAATTGTGTCAAGAGAATTTTTCTAGAATTTAAATTCAGAATTCAAGAGATGGATGGCTGTTTGAAGAAGAGCAGAGAATACAACAGGCCAATTTTCCCTCTTTCTCATTATTCATGAGTTTGAATAAGAAGCAACTGGCACAGTTAGTTGTTCAGCAGCTGCACCGGGTCATAGCTGGACAACGTGACCTGGACAACCAGTCCACAGGATGGGACCCACCTTGAATGTTTAGGGACAGAGTTTATTTAGCTCCATTGACTTCTCCAAGGATGGAGACTTGAGTGCTGTTGGAACCCTCCCGTGAAGGAGATTCAGTGGATCTTCAGTGTTTTTGTTTTTCCCTTTTGGTTCTGAAATGTAACTTGGTTGACCTCAGAGGTTGCCTGCTCATAGTCATAAAGGTTTGCCTTCCCAGAGCAAGGTGTCATTAATGAGTAAGTTAAGTCAAAGTCAAAATGTTAGTTGCTCAGTAGTGTCTGACTCTTTGCCATGGACTGTAGCCTCCTTTGTCCATGGGATTCTCCAGGCCACAGTACTGGAGTGGGTTGCCATTTCCTCCTCCAGAGGCTCTTCCCAACCCAGGGATCGAACCTGGGTGTCCTGCGCTGCAGGTAGATTTTTTACCGCTGAGCCACCAGGGAAGCCCTGTTAATGAGTAAGCCATGTCCTAAATGAACTGAACTGTAATGGCTTCTCGTTGTCCCAAGTGCACTGTACGTAGGGCCACCCACCCACATCTCCAGGTTGATGACTCTGGAGGCCTCCCATCGTCTCCACCTTCCCAGACAGGGGCCCGTGACCCAGCCCTGGTATCTGGAGCACCCCCACCCCCATCTCACCTTAATTAAAGCCTCCCCAACTTTCAAGTTTCCATAAAGACCTGGTGACAAGATTTTTTTGGCTCACCCCCAAGCAAAAGAGCTGGTTTCTTTTTTCTAAACTTCCCTAGTATCTTTGTTTGCTTGTCTCGATGGCACTTGTGGCTGTTTGTGGACATGCCTCATGAACCTTAGTGGACTGGAAGTCCTGAGGGTGAGACTGGGCCCTGGTCAGCGTGTGTCCTTCACAGCACCGGGAGTGATGCCTCATGTAGGGTAGGTATTTGATAAGTGTTTGTTGAGTAGTTGAATGAATGGGACCTAGTCACTGAATTTTACAGTAACAGAGAAAACTGCAGGGAAGTCAAGTCAGCCATACTGTCAAGATCACAATGTACCCTGTGTCCAGAACTTGATTCTCTTTCTTCTAAGCTTGTGAGAACCTCCTTCAAACGGGGGGTAAGGAGCTGTCCTGTCCAGGATGCTTCTGCCAATGAGAAAAGGCAAGACTACCTGAGCCGAGTGCGTGCAACACCCTCTAAAGTTCTAGCAGATGAAGCACTATATGTTGGTAGCAGGCGCTCTGTAAGAGCGGCCTGTATTTCAAAGGACAATGTTCAGTTACTCACTGAAGTCTTGGGCATGGCTTTATAGAAGAGAATCCAGATCCCCAAGCAAACAAGGAGATCAGGGCTACACTGACACCTTCAAGCTGCCACTCAGAAAAAGCCGAGAGCATCTGCAGTCCTGCTGGTGAAGACTCAGGAAGAGGCCCAGCTCAGGACGGCAATCACCAAACCCCCAGGAGGGGCCAAGACTGATGGGAAAATCTCACAGCCACTGGCACGACCTAATTGCTGAAGCGCTGCGAGTGGGCAAAGAAAATTCCTAGCTTGAGCTCAGACAACTTGAAAACGGCTCCTTCACATTTCTGAGCAACCGCGGCTGGGCTCTCCAATTCTGAGAGCCATCTGTGATGAGGAAGACGCCTTCCCCCGAGGGCCTGGATCGGATACAAGATGAGGGTGCAGCTGCCAAAGATATAAACACCAAATGGAGTCCTCTCTCTCAGTCTGAAGAATTGTGACCTACATACAACCCAGGGCCGGGTGGGTAACCAGCTACAAGCATCTTTGTCTTCATATAGCTCAATGAGAAAGTGGCAGGAGGGAAAAAAAAGAATCTGAAAGCATGCATTTTCATAACATAAAAGAGATGAGTTAATTTAGCACCAGACAAAACAAAGGCTATCATGATGAAAAGTTTGTATAATAATCCCGCTCCTATGATATACGTCAGTGAGCTGTTTCCCTTTAGATATGATGATTAAATATCTACTACAAACTGTCAACTCACTCTCTATCAGAGGTAAAGAAAGGGCCTTCCAGGTAATAATTAGACCATATAGCACTGCCAAAAGAGTACAGGGAATTTTTTCAGTTCTAATAGCAATCTTCTCAAATCTTTAAGAAAAATAATTATTTGTATTTTGATGGCTATACATGAATGATAGAGCCATTTTCTAGGTGCTTTATTATCTGAGACTATGCAATTAATGTATTCCCTAGTGGCTCAGATGGTAAAGAATCTGCCTGCAATGCAGGAGACCTGGGTTTGATCCCTGGGTAGGGAAGATGCCCTAGAAAAGGGCATGGCAACCCACTCCAGTATTCTTGCCTGGAGAATCCCATAGATAGAGGAGCCTGGCGGACTACAGTCCATAGGGTCGCAGAGAGTTCAACATGACTGAAGCAACTTAGCATACATGACAAAATTATTTTACCATCAAACAGATACTGACCTTTCCAGAATCAATACTCTCATTAATTCTATATTTCTATTTAGAGAATGACTCTC